TATACTTCAAGTCCCCTTCGATAATTCTCCAATCAAGACGTTCGGTCAAAACAAAACTATAAATTACCAGCTGTACCGTTGTCACACCACACGAAATAATAAAAATATATCAATACTTTAATCCATGCATAAGAAGAAGGGATCAACAAAAATCATATATAAGGGCCACAGAAAATCGACTCCATGCCACGAAGACTCCCGGGTTTGACGCCTTGCGGCTACAACCGCGGACCTCACATTAGCGCTGTGCGCTATTCGAGAGCCGCGGAGGTTCACGGTCGACGTACGGTGGCCCAGTCCGCCGACCGCGCGTCGTCTACGGACCACGAGCACCGGGACCGAGGTCCCGTACCAAGAAGACAGGCCGAGTGCCGCCTAAATTCGCCTGGTCTGGCTGTGCGCTATCCCCACACAGAGTGTTTCTGGTTACACTCAACCTCCGATGATACTACACCGGTATAGCGGCTAGACGCCCGAGAGGAACCGACAGCGTACCGGTGACTCGCGCCTCCGGGACGTGGCGGCCGTTCATCAGAGGTTTTCGCCTGTCAGCGAGAACTTAGAATAAGCATCTATTGACTTAACCACAAAGTATTCGCAAGAATACAACCACCACGATTCCTACCGGCAACGGACGTCCAGGGGCGTGAACCATCACTGGACGCCCGCGGTGAGTGGCGTCGTGACCGACGGGGCCCCACTCACTCCCGTGGCACTGAAGCGTCTTCAGTCAGACTTTCGCCCCCTCAGAGTCTACCAGTTCTGTCGGCAAAACGGGCATTGGTTTGCCTTTACCGCGGACGGGCGTCCGCGAGGTGCGAAATTAATCTCGGCCACCACCCTTTCGAACTATCTTCAGCAAGGACCCGTGTTCTTGGGTCAGTCTGGCCAAACGCCCAGACCCGGATGCCTGCCTAGCCGAGGCGCCCAGCCCAAGCTGACGGCAGCCCTACCTTTCAGTCAAAGGTGGGACACTTTGCGACGACCACCCTCGCCTACCGAATTAGGGACTCTAAGCAGACGAGCCGTCAGCCGCGAGCCCGTAACACTCACCGCAGTGTCCCGGAGACATGCCCAAACCCGGCTTACGCTGAGACGCCCGGCTGCTGGACGGAGCGAACTCCGGCGCCCGTGCCCTCAACTCGTGTTGAGAGCACCACCGCCTGGGTCGGTTGCCCAGCCGGCGACCGTGAACCGGCCCAGAGGACATACTGTCCGGAACTACGGGTCATTTAATCGAAGCTGTCCGCGGCTGGTTATTAGTTATTCGCCAGCTACCCGACTCGGAAGCTACCGAGGGAACCGGGCTTTCCTCTATCCGCAACCCGAGGACGCGATCTATACCGTGCGTCCACGGTCGCGAAACTCACAGTAGGCGGCTGTGGTTTCGCTAGATCGACTCCATGCCAGTGTCTATTCCGGAGATGCACAAGGTCCACGCCAGTCAACATCACGATCTTTTTCCACTGCTGTCCAAGCCATCACTGTGCGTTTATGCGTATACAATATATGTATATTGAACCATTCCTTCACCCGGTATGTCTGTCTAAATTGGTTGTCTCTTTATCAGTTAAATCAAAATTGTTCATCTTTTTACACTAACCTATCCATTGGTCTTTCAAAACATAAGGTTCTGTGACAGTCATCATATTATAGGTCTGTCACATCGTTACTACACATTTATATTTTAGAACATAAGTATAGTAATAAGTGCTCAATTAACTTAAATTACACTCGGTCGACGGTTGGACTATACGTACTAGCTGCCACGAGTGTAGGGATTCTAAGAGCTTTATTAGAATATAAGTATAGAAGTAAGTGCTCAATTAACTTAAATTACATTCGGTCGACGGTTGGACTATACGTACTAGCTGCCACGAGTGTAGGGATTCTAAGAGCTACATTAGAATATAAGTATAGAAGTAAGTGCTCAATTAACTTAAATTACATTCGGTCGACGGTTGGACTATACGTACTAGCTGCCACGAATGTAGGAATTCTAAGAGCTGTGTTCAAGATATAAATGTGTAATACCAAATATCCATCACATTAAATTACATTCGGTTAGTGGAGAGAGTATACGTAGGTACTCCTGTTACGAATGTAAGGATTTTGAGAATATATATGGTGACGGTCACAGGTAGAAATTATATACGAAATCCTATAGATCACATAAAATAATATACATATATTGTCATCGTGATATCGACTGTCGAACACGACCCCGAAGAACTACAAACCACTTAAAAGAAAACCAGCTACAGTGAGGTAAGTGTTTAAATGTTTATATAATAAAAGTAGGTAATTTAAATATCATTAGACAGTTAGGTACAACCCAGTAGTAGGGCGATCATATGCGGAAATCTCCAATATTTATTATAACACACATATCTCTCCCCTATAACCATTACCTTCCCCTACAGCCATATTCTCCCCTATACAACTAATTTGTCCCCCGCGTATTTTCACCTTACTACAAAGTGTTAAGGTAAGCAGATTCAATAATTTATTGTTTTCATACACAGAATCTTAATACTATTGCAGCTTTCATTGTTATTCTATCATTGTATAAATTAATAATAATTACATCAACCATACACTATACTTGACCATGTAGGTACATTTTTACAACCTTTCCATTTATACTTTGCTTAATGATTAAATGCTGTACAGAGATTAGATAAGATTTAAATTGTTCAGTTAATAATTAGCACTACATTTCCCCGTACACCTACATAAAGATATGCACTACTATTTTACTACTTCACTTACATACGCATAACTTCATATTATTTTTTGCAGTTTTACATAATATATAATGTGGTTAATATAAATGATGAATAAATAAAAGGACTGTGCTTCACATTTATTATAAAATTTATAATTTATTCATACTTAATTCTTTTTTTGACAATTTTTACAAACTATTCATTATCATATGTTATATTATACAACTATTTAAATTGTACACCGATAGCACAACAGTGCGACTTAAATCTATAATTTTATGGAGGGGGTGCTGTGTTCGGATATATATATGTGTAATTCATTACAGATTAAACGATTAATGTACAACAGTTGTATTCATACATTTATACTGCATACCTACATAACTACATTAATTAACTTATTTTACATAATATCATGTATGTTTAAATTTGGCAAAACATATCATTTTTACTTATAAAAAGATTCCATTCGATTCATTTTAATGTGCATAGGTATAATTAATAATTTGATCACAATTATTCTTCACTTATCAACTGTTGCTTAATAATTATTTAAAAACATTTTATGATTTGCAAGTAGGTACTTAAGCCATAACTTGACGCATCTTTACTATTTAAACGTGCATTGGAAGGTATAATTAATAACTTTTACAGATTTAATTTAAACTTATAACAAACGGATACCTAACAGTTGTTTATTTAAATTTATATTAAGAAATAAAAACAACAACCTCTTTACAATACCAATGTATTTCAATAGCATTCCAACAGACCCTATTGTGATCACAAATATACAATTTTGTAGTAACCATACCTTCACTTGACACAATGTACAATCTTAATTATTTAAATGTATACATCAGTAAACTTCCATCATTTCAATTTAAATTATTTTTTACAACTTCATTGTCTCATTTTTTTTTATACAATTAGTACCAATCAATGAAAAACTATTAATATATATTTGTGATGTGTGATGACCTCATTGTATAAACATACAATTTATAACATTACTGTTTTTATTATATTATATATTGAATTAATTTTGATTTCAGTTACACTAACTCACGGTACGTCGGCCCACCTGAAGCCATTTGGAGGTTGTTTTCGTATGAGATACACAACAAAAGCCACACGATCATAAGACTTCCGGTCCACCTGGAAGACAATCAGACCGTGTACTTTCCTCCCGGACATGCTGAAGAACGGTTAGACGATGATAACCAACGTCGTACTAAACTAACAGAGTTCTTCACACTCAACACAAACAGCGAGGTGGCAAGACAGTACCTCTATCATGAGATACCACTACATTACACTTGGCACCAACCTAGCAGGACATGGTCGCCACGTAAAAATCGGATGGCCAACAAGACGTTGGCTCGGATGTACGTCGTCAACCCAAAGGATCAGCACCGTTTTCACATGCGACTGTTACTTCTGAACCGGAGAGGCCCACGGTCTTTCCGGGACATAAGAACAGTCGACGGGATCGTGCACGAGACATATGGGGCTGCTGCAATTGCATTGGGACTCGTAGAAAACGACGAAGCATGGCATGCGTGCATGCAAGAGTCTGCAACGTTGGACACTCCCGGCCAGCTTCGGTATCTTTTTGTCACAATACTGGTGCACTGCCAGCCTACGGAACCGCTAAGGCTGTACACGAGCAATGAAGACAGCATGATTGAAGACTTCAATCGGCGTTTGCAAGACGTTGACCGTGCGAGGGCATCGACTCTGAAGGCCATTGGAGATCTTCTACGGGTACACGGAAAAACACTTCACGACTACGGTCTGCCCATCCCGGACGACCGTCTACTAGAACCAGAATTGGACAATCAACTGTTCCACGCAATAGACGTGGCGGCACGGTGAGCACCACAAGTGGACACCTTGAACGCCCAACAGCAAACAGTATTTGATCGCATCATGGTGGCGGTCAATGACTACCGGGCAAAAACATTCTACGTCGACGGACCCGGAGGCACCGGAAAAACAACGCTTTATGGATGCCTAAAATGGGCACTTCAAAACCAACAACCGCCACGAGAAGTATTGTGCGTGGCATTCACGGGGATCGCCGCGTCGCACAGTGGGTGGAATTTCGAAAATAGCTGGACAAAAATAATAAATGTAACATAATTTTGTTTAATGTTTTTTTACGTATAATTTACAGGAGTTGAATAATATTGAACATTGGTTATAAGTCGTCTTAAATATACATTAAACAAATTTAACATAATAATATTTAACATTTAATATACTATTTTATTCAGATTCTGAGTTTGGAATAGCAACGGTTTTTTCTCTAGGTATTGAATCTGAACTAGTTAAAAGAGTTAACACTTCTGGGGATATTGGCACCATTTTTTTGGAAGGATTTGGCCGTATTGATGATATAACCGGATCAGAAGTAACGATTAAACGATGAAGAAGATCTATATTTGTATCAATCCGACTGGTTTTCCTAGTGAAATGTTCTCGAAAAGATCTGTAATGCTTATTTCTCGCTTCCGAGGCTTCCTCAGATAATTGCCCAATTGGTAGCAAACAATGTTTTATAACATCGGCACCGTGCAATAAAATTTTGTGGACACTAGCTGGCATATAGTACCAGTTATAATATTCTATGTAAAGTTTTGCCGTATCCATAGCATACTTTTCAAATGCCGAAATATTTATATGAAAACCACTTGAAATTGTTGCAAGTATTACTCCAAATCTAGATATTAGTTCTACATTCAATCCGGTGATTTCTGCTGATAATAAAGCATTTTCAAAAAACCTCCGAGCAGTATTACCATCATTGCTTGACCCACAACCTTGTTTAGGTTGATCAATAATAATACCAACTTCTTTTCGAAAACGATTGATTATATACGTTTTTCTACGTTTAAATGATTGTTTGTCTTCCGGGCTTCTTATTTGCCATTTCTTCACTTCCAACCTGTACGAAATATGCATGAGACATTCAAAAAATCGTATATGTGCATGGAGAGTAGACAAACCAAACGAATAAGTCGATACATTATTAGTTCTATTTTTAGCTAATTCTAAGTTATTAGTATATTTTGGAGATACTCCACAAATATAACAAACTTGGGAACTTGTGTCGGTTATTGAATTGCAAACTTTTCCATCAATCATGGTGAGCAACAATTTATTATTGATTTTTAGATTTGTTGAGCCAATAATCACTTTTGTTGGTTCAAGGTCGTTAATTTGATTTTCAATATACATAACTTCATTTTTTATGGTATCTTTTGTTTCTTTTTCAAATAAAAACCGAACTGGTCTGCAAAACTTAGTTGATGATGGACGTGGATTTTTCCATAATGTTATTTTTTCACTATTGGATTTTTGAAGTCCATGTATTTGAATTGGTACAAGAGATGTCATTAAAAGATTTGAATCACAAAAAGTATCATTAGTGAATTTCTGTTTGTATTCCCTTTGACCAGAACTTCCGTCAAAACCCCATTTATAAATACATTCTACTGAATCTGGTTGTATATCATTTATACATTGCTGAAGAACTATATCTTGTACTTTGACGATTCGGGAAGTTGTAATATTTAATATGGCCTGCAATTTAATTTCCGCAGATGATTCGCTAACGACAATATTGTGGTCAGGTGGATAACATTCTTTTTTTACACTTTTTATAACATCGTAAGAAGGAAAAACATACACTTCTTTCTCTTTTAGTCGTTGGCGTAATGTCATATATTGTTGCTTGGTCAAGTTTAAATCTACAAGAATAGCCAACACTTCTTCTGGAGAAAACATTTTATTATTATTAGACTTACGCATGGACATTTTATATGCTTTTTTAAATTTATGAGCTCGAGTTGGTGTTTTTTCGGTCACTTCTTGAATAACTGACGAAGCATGCCTTTTACCAGAACGGTGTAAGCTTAGACGAGAAGCAAATGCTAATTCCTGAGAACTATGCGAGTCTAACAAATGTTGAACCTTTCTTTTTTTTGTTTTTTCACAGCTTTCTTGAAAAGGTTTTTTTGGACGACCGCGGCCTTCAGTCATAGTATTATTAGGCTCATTTTTTTTAAAAGAAAACATTAATTTAGTATCCAGCCAGAGAGAGTATTTTAAATACAATTTATTTGCACTACGACCACACTCTTTCCATTTTTTTTTGAAGGCTTGATAAAAAAGTAAAAATGACCGAAGGAATATTTGTCTGAATACTGCGTACATTTAACTTATTTTCTACATATTCAATTATGATTTTTCGAGATTGGGCATCCAGTGGTCTTATATTTCCATTTTTTCTTAAAAATTCAAATAATTCTCTACGCATAACACCTGACAAAAATGATAATTATTTTAATAGAAGCAACGAAGAGCAAACAAAATATACATAAAATTAAATTTTATGAACTGTATAACAATTTGGCATACTATTTATAGAGGTCAGTTTTGACCATTTTTTTAAAACTACCATTAAATTTAAAATATTTAAAATTAAACGTATAATTATGCATTGATTATTTATAATACTATTAAATGGGTGGTTAAAATTATTATTATGAAACATAAACTCTAATACATACCTTCATTAGTAACCTCCATCGTAAATGAAATATAAAAACCGGAAATTGAATGACTATTACCACTTGAATTCTCAAGAGCAAATGAGGCAAAATATTGTATGACTGACCAATTATTATCTTATCGCAATATATAAATATCATTATCTGTCAAAAACTGCTGATAATTTTTGTATTTTGTTGACTATAACATTCTTATAAACGAATAACATCAATTTCAAAACAATTATGAGTTAAATGAAAATTATATTTTTGTCCAGCTATTTTCGAAGTTCCGCCCACTGTGCGTCGCTCATGGACGGCGGAATGACAGTTCACTCGACGTTTGGATTGCCATTTGGTACGCTGACCGACTACGATACATCCAACATCTCCTTGCAATCCATGCGCGCACAGAGGATACGTGATGCGGCGCTCATAGTCTGGGACGAATCGCCAATGTCACCGGGAACACAGCTCACAGTGGTCGATCGCTTACTCAGAGACATCATGGGAAAACAAACAATACCGTTCGGGGGCAAACCGGTCCTATTCGTGGGCGACTTCCGACAGATATTGCCCGTCGTACGCAGAGGGAATAGAAGCGCCATCGTCTTGGCGTCAATCAAACAAAACTTTTTGTGGAGAAACACGGAGAAGTTTGAACTGACCCAAAACATGCGCGCCGGGAACGACGCGGACTTCGCAGATTGGATACTGAAGCTCGGCAACGGACAACTACCAGTGGTCTACGGTATTGAGGATACGGTCGAAATCCCCAAGGAAATGGTATGTGATATCAATGAATTAGTTGAATTTGTTTATCCACAGCAAATGTCGTTGACTAACGTCTACAATTTTGCTCGGAGAATTATTCTTTGTCCCAAGAACGAAGAATGCCGTCAACTAAATCGCCAAGTACTCCTACGCGTTGCAGGGGCCGAATGGACCTACTAAAGCATAGACACGGTGATGGCCGACGACCCGGACGAGGTCGCCAACTATCCCACTGAGTTTCTCAACTCTCTGGAACTAAACGGCCTCCCCCGCACGCGTTGACCCTCAAGGTCGGTGTCTTAGTCATGTTGCTAAGGAATCTCGATCCAAGTAGACAACTGTGCAACGGTACAAGGCTGGTGGTCACCGAATTGCGGCGATACAACTTCAAGGCAAGGATGTTGTCCGTTGGCGGCGACGCACCGGACGACATAGTCATACCTGCTATCCCGGTCACTTCAGGCAGTGAGGATGATCTTCCATTCCAATTGAAGCGGCTACAGTTTCCGGTACAGTTGTCGTTCGCAATGACCATCAATAAATCCCAGGGTCAAACGTTTGACAGGGTTGGTTTGCATCTGCCGTCACCCGTGTTCACTCATGGACAATTGTACGTTGCGTTTTCGCGAGTGAGAAACGCTCAATCCGTCAAAGTCGGTATGTACGCTGACGGCCACGGTCGGTTTGTCACAAAGAACATTGTGTACAGAGAAGTATTACCTCTCAGGGTATAATCTCGGTGAATTGACAAAACAAAAAAAATATATCAAACTTCAAATTAAATATTTTTTTGTTCACATTAGTTTTCTCTTCAATAATGATATATTTTTTTTGAGACATACTAGCCTGAGATTACAGACGTACTTAAATACAACATTGTTATGTTGTACCATCATGGATTTATGTGATCCACCGGGCATTCAATCAAAGCATTTAATCCTTAGGGATCCGTATATCTGGGATATAACTGTACAATAAAGTCTACAAGAACTTAATGAACATCAAATCTGATCTGTGTGATCAAATGGATCTGTGTGATCCAAGTCTGTGTGACACATGGTTCATAAGCAGTCATAAGTACGACTCGCGAAGGAGAGAAAGTTCGACAACCTCCACGTGGTTCTCTCTGGATGCGGATTTTGTAAAAAATACGTAACTGATGTCGAACATGCATTTAACCTGGCTACAACTCGCACACTATGTGGTAAATTATTTAGAATTATTTATGTACTCTAAAAATATATCAGCAGCTGATATTTGTATGCATTTGTATTATTTCAGAAACATTATACTAGAAATGACTATCAATGCAGGTGTAACAGAAACAGAATCATTGTTGGACTGCTACTAAGACAAAGGGGAAATACGACAAACTCTACGTGCTTCTCTCTTGATACAGATTTTGTAATGTATTTGTATCAAATGTCAAACATGCATTTAAACTGGCTACGACTCGCACACTATGTGGTAAATTATTTAGAATTATTTATGTACTCTAAAAATATATCAGCAGATATATGTATGCATTTGTATTATTTCAGAAACATTATACTAGAAATGACTATCAATGTAGGTGTAATAGAAACAGAATCATTGTTGGACTCCTACTAAGACATAGGGGAAATTCGACAACCTCTACGTGCTTCTCTCTTGATGCGGATTTTGTAATGTATTTGTATCAAATGTCAAACATGCGTTTAAACTGGCTACGACTCGCACACTATGTGGTAAATTATTTAGAATTATTTATGTACTCTAAAATATATCAGCAGATATTTGTATGCAATTGTATTATTTCAGAAACATTATACTAGAAATGACTTCATCAATGCAGATGTAGCAGAAACACAACAAAAAGATTCATCATTGTATCAATACTGATTACTAATTTGCAACTAAACCATTCTCTGATAACCATAAGAATTACTACAGCTAACACTTAATTATTATTCATTGTTAATTTGTAACTGATGTAGCTTACACACACACACACATATATATATATATGTATATACACTTAAATTGATTAATAGTAAGTTTCATACACAAATTATTATAATTTCAAAAGAATATATTATCTACTATAACCAGAGTTTGTAAGAAATTTTCAATTTTGTTGTATGTACAATATGTTTCATTTCTACGTATTGCAGTCGACGCACGATTCAATTAATTTTTTTTAAACATCATTAAACTACACTATATTGTATGTTTGAATTTGTATTGCTTAACAATGTCTTTCATATGTAATAAACATAATGAGGTATGATTAGATATTTTGCCACCCCAAATAATTTTCATTGAAAAAATATTATACAATTACTGATTAGTTATACCTAATTGATTATACATTATTTGTAATTTAAAAAATGTGCTCTGCTGTACTGTAGGTTATAAGTGGGTCACTGTATAATGGATGGTATTAAATTTGAATTCAATGATATAATATCATTGTATAAGAAAAACGATTCTGAGTGGAGACGGTATGTCAGTCTAGGTTAAGACATATTATATACATATTACATATATATCGTATTAAAATAAAATTGACCTATAATAAATTCCAAATTAATCATATCACAATATCCATTAGGTACTTATAAGCGTTATACATCAACAACAAACCGTGATACTATCATAGATATATAAATATAATAGTACACTTTAGAAGTTTCAAGTACCCACGAATAATATTATACAATCACAACAAAATAACTAAAATAGTTATTCTAGGTTTTTTAATATATAATTTCATCCAAATTTGAATTTAAAATGTCTGTAAAAAATAACTGTGTTCATATATTTTTTAGATTTTTTGGTTACAGTATGAACTATTCATGAGAACCTCTGTTTTAAATTTGTAGTCTTTAGCTATAAAAACTGAACATTTTATAATTTATTAATTACAATGATTGATAATTTTCGAGATTGTGATAAATTTTGTCAAAATTCGATGTTTAAATGCTTATAAAAAGAAATTGTACATATGTATTTGAAATATTTTTCAAACTGATATTGTAACAATATATCGGGAGCCTTGTATTAAATTTTTATACTTTTTGACCCAACAGATAAAACTTTATTGATATTTATAGAAAAAAAAAACTAAAAAAATCGAAAACTGAAAATGTCCATAAACAGCTCAAAAATATTTTCAAAATTGTATAGTGTTTAGAAAATGCTAATATAAACATTCAGTGAAATTTTCATGTATCTATAGTTATTCGTTTTAGAATTATAACAAAATAAGGAAATCGCTATATGAGAAATCGACTGAATCTCCAATGTTTTAAAAATTTGAATTCCAAACACTCATAAAAATTTAATTTGACTTTCTTATAGACATTTTTTTTTGATAAATGTAGAAAATCTTATAAGGAATCTTGTATTACATTTTCATATCTTTTATTAGCCATTGGTTAACAATTAATGTTACCATTAATATTATTCATTAACTAATAATACCAACAATAATTTATTCGAGCCTATGCATACCTACCGTTTTAAAGGAGAGTTATGCAAACTTATAAATATGATAACATCTGTTATATATATGTTGTAATATAACTTAGGTTAGGTTATGTATAAAAAAAAACACTTAAAAATAACTGTTGTTATATATTATATATATATATTTCTATTTATAACTTAATAACTTATACATTATTCATTCTGAAAATATATACAAACACAAATTAGAATTAGACAATAAAAAGA